CATATCAAGACAGTGTGAAGCCATTCAAGAGAATGCAAGAATTACAGGGTATTTAGAACCAGCTAATAGAAAACGAACAACGGTTTCCATATTATCTCTTTGCCTATAAAGAATTTTGTTTATACTATAGCATATAGTGAAATACAGTAAGATACAACATGTTAAAACCAGTGGAAACAGATGTACCACAGTATGATGGGACTTCAAAACAAGATGATATTAAATCAGCACTAGCTTTTATGTTGTGTTGTTTTCTTCAAAATAGCTATTCGTACTGTCATAGATACTAAAATTGAACAACCAGGTTAAAACCATTGCAATTAATGAGTGAAAACATTATATGGCTTCAAACCAATATGATTGGGAATCATGATTATCACATACTTTTATGTATTCTTATCATTTCTTACACTAGGGAAACTATTCGGTATTTATACATGTGAGTTTGATTTATTTCACTTATGAGTATGGTTTCAAGCTGCATCCATTTATTTATAAATGTCTCAATGTGATCATTCTTTATAGCTGAGTAGTACTCCATTGTATAAAAATACCACAACTTTTTTATCCATTCTTCAGTCAGATGTTTTATTTTAATACCCAATTTGTAATTTAAAAAATCTATTTAGTCATACCTGTAAATGTTTTAAAAGGTTACAGTTATGATTTTCCACTTTATATTTTACATGATTAACAGAATTTTATAATAGCTTCCAATCATTTTATTATAAAGCTTATGTACATTGTTCAAAAAAACCTCCTTTCTGAAATTACATTTAGCATCTCAATCAAATCATGCATCACTCTTTTCTGTTCTTTGGCATTTTGTCAAAACACAGTTTAAGGGTAATTAATCAGCTTCAGAATAAAAGTTCTAGGAATAAAAATGTTAATTACCTAGAGTTTCGCCTTTCCTAGTAAACACGGAAAATAATGGCGTATGCGAGTACACATGTGGTGTCGCCTTGCAATGGAATCTGTTCAGCTAAGCGCTTGTTACTGTCTAATTGCTAGAGAGACTTCTTTTGTTGTGCAATCATCTCTTGCTGTAGTATTTCCCTACTTAAGAATGGAATACACACCTTAAATTCCCAAGTCTACATATTCTCCTGTGCATATATGAAGTACATAAATAAATTTTAGGATAGTTTTGGCAGATTTAGAATGACTGGGCCTCAGAGGTTTTCAAAGACTAGCTTATGACCAGAAAAGTAACCAGCAAGACAGCTGTGGCTGAGTCTAAACACAGCCATGAGAGTTTGTGGGCACTCTGTGGGCATACTTTTTTTTTTTTTTTTTGAGATAGAGTCTCACTCTGTAGTCTAGGTGAGCCTTGAATTCGCAGCAATCCTCCTGCCTCAGCCTCCCAAGTGCTAGGATTACAGGCATACACCACCACCACATACTTTTTATAGCAGAATCATGAGTGTTAGACTTTTAATTAATCAGACCCATTATCATAAGCATTTTCTTCCCTAATAGAATAATTGTAAATAAAATAATAAAAGCAATAAATGCTTCCTCACATACTATGTAGGGTTCTGTTTGCACAGTTCAGTTTTAGCCATCTGTTACTTTGAAATAAATTACCCAACTGTTGATAGTGTTTCATCTTATAAATGTGAACATTTCGTTTTTGAACAGAAGCTTGGGCTCACTTTATATGTTTACTTAATAATATTTATATTCAAGTTATGGCTGGTCTCAATAAATACTTTCATACTAGAAAAATACACAGAACTATTTTCTAGTAAGTTTTCTCTGTGAAGACAATTCCTTCTCTAACATAAATACATAGTAATATTGTAGGAAGGATTTCAGTACCTGGTAGATAAATCTTGGCTCAAATCTAAGGTAGCTGAGGTATTTAAATAACCAAAAAATCTCAATTAGTAACAGAGTCAAGTCCAAACATCTTGCAGTGACTTACTTCCCAAAGGCTATTATGTATGGCTAATAAATTAATTACCTTCTGGCTAATGGTTGGCTCTATTTTTCAATATAAAATGTTGAGCATACAAAATGCAAGTGTCCTCTAGATGTGAGTATGTGTAAATTCTTGTTTGTTTGTTTGTTATCTTATTCATTTTTATCAGTACCGGGGATTGAACTCAACGACCGCCTGCTTGCAAGGCAGGTGCTTATGCCGCTGAGCTAAATCCCCAGCCCTGAGTATGTGTAAATTCTAATGTCACAGAACATTTTAAATGATGAAAATATTTCAATCTATAAATTTTTAGTCACTTTTTCTATTGTTTCAAAAATATAGGAAGTTACTGCACATATAAAGCTCCATGAATTCTATAAATTATACCATATACAATCACAGTGCTTTTGATGAATCCCCTTACTACATTTTTTTTGTTGTAACCAATTTAATAGTCAATTTTTTTGGTGTAACCATTTTTTTTTGTTGTAACCAATTTAATAGTCATTTTTTTCAAGAAATGTTACCTCCATTTGCAAAAATACATGATTACAGGGTTTCTAAAGTCACCTTGATAATCACAGTGCTACCTCATCTGACACTGCAAAAAGTATGGCATGTATATTTTATAACTGGTTGTAGTCACAGCTGCCAGCTGTCACAGAAGTGTCCCTGTAATTGACAAAATAGAGAAGATAAAAAGGGAAAGAAAGGGGTTTGGTAAGGAAGAAGGATTTTTCATTTTTTATCTTGTGATACATTCCGCAGCAGTAGACACCACAATCTCTTACATCAGTGCTTCGAAGGCAGGAAAAGAAACACTCCAAGAGAAAGCTTAAGAACTGGAGATGCCTGTTTCATGCAGCGTTGTCGGTTTGGAGACTGCACAGCTCTTCTTCTTGTACTAAAGAAAACAAGGGTGTAAGGACTCATGGTGGAGTTTGCTAAGTTAGTTACAGAAGTAGCTCTGGCATCTGCGACTTCCACTTTGCCATCCGTCACTTCCATTCTGTTTGTAAGAGGACAGTGTGTAAATATCAACTAGTGATTTCTTACTGTTTTTCTTTGACTGTATGTATTATTTCCACCCATTTTCTGTTTTGTTTATTCTTTCTTTAAATAAAATTTAGAAAAAAAGAAAGATATATTAGGGTACCTATTACTGTTATCCTGCTGTGAAGTTTGGTACCAATTTTACTGCGTTGTCTTGATTGGTTTTGTTCTGTCTTGTTCTTTAAAAAAAAAAAAGACATGACCTGTATTGTTATGTTGTTAGGTCCTCTTTTATCTCAATCTCCTCCTTTTTTAAAAAATTTATTTTTTTAATTAAGGGAAAAAATTTAAAAAAATTAGCAGGATATATTATAGTAACTTTTTTGATTTCCTATTTTGATTTGAAGCCCTCTATTGCTCTCACCATCTTGTTTTGACTGTATTGTTTTGTTTCATAGTATCAAGTTTGAGGGTATAGATAACTACTTTGAAGGCAATACGATTCACTATGATGCCCATTCTGGTTTGACTATTATCTTCTTTTGAAGTCTTGTAATGTCTCCAATGTTTAGGTTTTATTGGTTTTGTTCTGTACTGTTTTGTTCAATTTTATTATATCTGATGATATAGGCAATTCTTTTTAAGGTAGCGAAAGGCATTATGGTAACCATTGTTGATTTTGTTTAGTCTTTCTTTAAATAAAATTTAGAAAAAAAGAAAGATATATTAGGGTACCTAATTCTGTTTTTACATCATGTACTATGTCCATCCTTTGTTTTGACTGACTCTGCTTTGTTTTGTCACATTTGGTTTTATTCTCTTCCAAAGAAAAGAAAAGTAGTAAGGACGGTGCGAGTAATAAAACCTAAAATGTGTAACTGTTTTTATAAAAAAGAGAGGAAAAGAAAGTGCTCTAAAGGATACAACTGCAAGTGTGTTTAGGTGTGTAAGGTAGATGACCATATTACTAAGTTTTTGTTGGATCACTGAACACAACTGTTTGCAGTCTCACTGTTTGAATGTCCACTTTGCATGCTTTAATTTTGTAACTTGAACAACTATTTCCAAGATGACAATATGTAATCTACTAACTAGTGATTTCTTACTGTTTATTTTTTTGAAATTCTGTATTACTTGTACCCTTTTACTGTTTTTTTTTCTTTAAATAAAATTAAAAAAAAACTTTGCTACTGTTAAAAAAAAACAAGTTGTCAATCAAACTTCCAAACTGAAGGGTGATTTATCATTTTGGGGCAGGATTAAAAACAATCTTCCTTTCCCCCAAAAGATATATATTATTTGATTAAGATGAAGAGAAATTCTGTAATTTCTAAATACTTACAAAGTAACAATTTATGCACAACTAGCACAGATATTAGTCTTCCTATACACATTCATAGCTAGAGTTATAAGCAAAAACCCTAAGGTTAAGTGACAAAAGTTCAAATTTTGTAGTAATGTTATAATATCTGATAATAAAATAAAAAGTCTACCATTGGGGGTTAACATTTGTGGTAAGCAAAAATATCAGAAAGTATTTGTTTGAAACACAGTTATATCCTGTTTTCTGACTGATTTGTTAATATATCCAGGTCATAAAAGAAGAAAGGAAACTTTGCTCTATATGGCTTTTACCGAACCACGTTACAGTAAAAAATAATTATAAATAGTATCTAGTAGGTTAAATAATTGACTCCATAGAGTAAATGGCTATAGAAGGTCTGGGACTTATACTTTAGTCTTCTCTTTCTCAGTTCAGTTCCGATTCTCCTACACAGGTGAGAAAGCATCCACACTTACTATTTGTCAGTATTCACGAGGAAGTAAAATCTATTCTGGAAAAGCAGAAGTGAAAAGTAAAATACAAAATTTAAGGTTTTACCAAATTATAGAAGCAAAGTTAAGCCATTCATGGAACCTCGTATGATGAAGAGAACCAAAGAAAGATTCTAATTCTAGATTAGTGCACTTTTTAAAAGTTCAGATCGAGGTCCAAACTGGATGCTGCTGAGATTTAGAAGTCAAGGACCATAAACAACTAGAGGGATACAGTTAAGAATGAGACTTATTGGACAGCAAGTCTGTTGCATGATAGTAAAAACTTCTTTTTATTTGATTGCGAAGTGGTCACATTTATATACCAATCACCAAGGACTGTACCCCAACAGTTTCTTGGCTAACACCACACGGTCAGCCCAGCATCAAACTGCTCTTAAGAATTACTCCCTTGGGGCTGGGGATTTAGCTCAGTGGCATAAGCGCCGTGAGTTTGATCCCGGGTACCGATAAAAACGAAAAAAAGACAAAAAAAAAAAAATTACTCCCTTATGGCCAGGGGTCTAGCTCAGCAACCGAGTGCCTGCCTGGGCCTTGACTTCGATTCCCAGTACCAAAAAACAAAGTAAAGTAAAACACGAAGAATTACTTCCTTATACAGAGCTATCACTGAAGCAATTGTTATACAAAGGCAGTATCTGGTGACTATCACTAGCAGAAAGGAAGCAGATTGTATTTCAGATCAAATTATATAGTCTTTACATTATCTTACTAGAAAAGTTCCTCAAACATTACATAGGCTTATTATAATTTTAAGTATGTAAAGTTCAATATAAAAGATACAAAAATGACAAGGGATAAATGCATAATAGTGTTAAATACACAGCAGATTTTGACAAAACTTATTACCAGTTATACCTATATGTTGGTTTTAATTACGTTTTTAAAGTGTATAAAGTTCAACATGTAACAACTGTAAAAATACAAAAGCATACAGATAAAAACAGAATGTCTAACAAGTAATAAAGACTTTATAATAAAAAGCAAAACCAGCTATATCTACGAATTCCATCCTATAATCTCATAAATCAAAGCTTTCAACTGCCTGGACTCATATGTGACTGTGTTCTTTCCAATGTGCATTCTTTCTTCCTCAAGAGGTTGCTCTATAACAGCAGGTATATTTCTGCCATGAAGTTCACAGTGTTCTAGAAACTGCACACATTCCTGAATAACATTGTCGCGAAGCACTATCATGTGCTTTGACATGTTTTCCAATAAGGACAGAAAGCATCTCTTGGCATAATACCAGGTATCAGTTCCCAGCTTTTTATGGTAGGGTTCTAAGCTCTTGATGACTCGAGAAATGCCAAAGTCATAATTTCCTTTGGCACAATAGAGCGTCCCTATCACCAAGTTCACAATGCAGAGATGGTAGATTTTCTTTTCTGGGTCAACGTAGGACAGCTGCTCTTCCTCCTTTTCAATCTTCCTCATCAGCTCCTCAGCTTCCTCATTCTGACTGGTCATGATGTAGGAGACACAGAGGTTAGCCAACACAATAGCGCTGACATTCAGGATGTTATCATAATGCTTCTTGACTATGGGTTCATAGAAACCGATGGCCTCTCTGTATTTGTTTTCCTGCATGAACAGAACATGAGCTACATTCAGCCTCCACACATCATGGTCATTGCAGAATTCCACAGACTTGCGGAAGATCTTTTCCACCATTGGATAATTTTCAAGGTTCCAGTAGATTTTTGCTTGGGCCATCAACACGGGAATGTATTTCTCAAGGGTATCATCATACTCATTTTCTGTCTTCTTGACAGCTTCTTCATCCCTGTTATATCTGGCTTCCTGTACCTGTTTGGTGAGTTTCCGGAGCTGCTCAGTCAGCATCCCAGCCAGCCCATCCAGCTTAACAAAGGCCTCTTCTGGAGCTGTCTGACAAGTGATCATGGCATCCAAGAAGTCATAGAGATAGGGTGTGAGGAACTTGTAAGTCAAATGGGCATTTTCTGCCAGAACATCTGCTGCCAGGTCAAAATACTCATACTTGCAGTAGAGCAGCAGGAGATTGCCAAAAGTCTCTGGGGGAAAGGGGTTCTGTTGGAGCAAAAACTGTAGCTTCTCAAATCCTTCTGTGGGCCTGGTATCCATGTTCATGAGGGCCTGGTTGTGCAGGGTCACAGGGTCCAGCTCTTCCTCTGCCCTAGGAGGCATGTCAGTGAGGGTTTCTTGGGCTACCTGGTAGTTTTTCAGCTGGTACTCTATGGCTGCTTTGAGGTTGAATGCTTCCACCAGAGCAGTCTGGTGCAGGACTAAGGTGTTGCCAACACTGCGAGCATCTATGCCCTCAGTGGTCATGCCCACACCGAGCTCAGGATGCTGGCGGATGCCATGCTCAATTATGTCAGCAATATGTTTCAGAGATGAGGCATATTGCCGGCTGCTGTAATAGGCCAGTGCCAGGTTGTACGAAAGGTCTGGCTGGTAGCCTGAGGCCTGCAGGGCTGCAAAGAACTTGGAACACGCAGCTTCATAGTGTCCCTCTTTGTAGAGCAAACAACCCAGGTTGACCTGGCCATCGTGGTCGTTCACTCCTGCACTCTCTTCTCCTGCTTCCCCACTCAGCAGCTGCTCTATGAGGCCCCTGGCCCCTGGCAGATCACCCTCGCTGTACTTGATAGCAGCCTGCAGGCGGAGGACCTGGCTGTGGTAGGCCGGGTTATCCAGGAGAAGGAAGGCGACCCGAGTGGCCTCTGGATAAAGGCAGGCCTTGTACAGGGCCTGGGCCTGGTACAGGCGGTACTGCTCGAGCTCTGGGTGCAGCTGACTCAGCTGCTCATAGCACTCTGCGGCTAGCATGAACTCCTGCAGGCGGTAGTAGCAATAGCCCAGTAGTGACAGACCCGCGCGGCTCTTCGGGCTGCGCTGCAGCTCAGCGGCCAGCAGCTGCACCGCTTCGGAGTAGCGAGAATCGCGGATGAGCCGGTACACCACCGCGGTGAACTCACCGTCGGTGATCTGTGCGCAGTTCAGCCCCGCCAGAACCGCCATGATTTCTGCGTGTACTGGTTTCCAAGGCAACGGGCCAAGCGGAAACGGAAATTTGTCAGAAGTTAGTGTGCGGAGGAAAGAACACTTCAGAAATAAAACAGAATTATTTGTATTCTCTCAGTTTTTTGTCCGATCCTAGAATATTCTGAACTTCGCAGTACCATGATTTAGAGAGAGAGAGAAGAGTCTTCTGGTCCGTCAGAGTGGTACACTCCACTTCCCGGCATGCATCGCGCCGCGGCGATTTTTCTAGGACCTGGCCACGCTGCATGCTGGTTGATGTAGTCTCTACCGTAAATGCAAACTTTGAGTCCTGAGGTTTCACTCTTCTTTTCTTCTTGTTTTATTTAGAAATGAAAATACACCAAAATTATTAGATGACTAACATATAGGAATATCAAACTTTTGTTTCTTAGACTGGGTGTTGTTGACTGTGTGTGTTATTCCACTTGGGCCTCGGGGACAATGGGATTTAAGGCCTAATGTTCTTAAAGATTTTAAAGTGCACTGCAGGTTTAGCTCAGCGGCACAAGCGCCTGCCTTGTAAATAGGCAGTCGTGAGTTTGATCCCCGGTACCGATAAAAAGGAAAAAAGAAAAAAAAAAAAACAACAGAGTTGTACACTGCATGTTGTATAATAATGTCAAAAAAAAAAAAAGTTGTACACTGTATGTTGTATAATAATGTTGTCATCTTGTGTGTGTGTTTTTTAGGTTTTGGAACAAGATGAGACTGTTATCTTTTTGGATGTCCTCTGGAATTAGAGTTGATTCTTTTTATGCTGTCCTTAGTGTAAATTTATTAAAAGCAAAGTACAGTAATTCAGTGGGCACAAGTCCTTATTTTGGTCATCTCCAGAGGTTCACGAGTCCCCAGTCTTTTCTGTGTGTAAATTTCAGAACATATTCCATCTCTATTATAGCCCATTTACACAATTATATCTAATATTAACAATAATCCTATAATATGCATATTATTAATAAAACATTCTGGGCTAGTTTATTTAAAGGTTTACATAATTTGCTCAAGACTATATCTGGATTCATAGATGCTGAGCCTTGGTATTCCACAGGTGAGTTCCAGAGCAAACAGAGTGTGGTAATCAACCTAATCCATTGATCTCCTACAGAGTTTGTAAGGGCGCAGTTTTTGGTGCCAAGGAAATATGAGGGGAGATTACAGAGCTTTTTCCCTTCATTAAACTACCAGCTAACTTGTCAGCAGAAGACTTTGAACTTGCTGGCCCTAACTGCAGCTTCAAGCAGATGTTAGGAAGTGATTCATGGGAGTCTACAGCTCCTATATCACCTGGTATCACAAAGAGAGTTCAGCATGTGTTCATGGCTCACAGCATAGAATAATTAACTTTATGTTCTTATTCAGAATTGGTCGAGTTTTGTCTTCCTGAGTGAGAACAGGAGCAGCCATGACCTGAGGCTTTTTTCAGCCTGATTTATGGGGCACCCTTCTAGGATCTTGTACCCAGGCAGGTCCATGGGAGGAGGAGCCTAGCTATTGCTGCTCAGTAATGAGAGGGTGTGTGTTTTTTCCTTACAGCTGCCTGCCTGCCTGAGTCTTGTCCCTTGGAAACTTAGGGACAGCATTTTAAAATCATTATGTATGGAGTGTTACTTCAGGTAAGTTGCTATTAAATGAAGGTACAAAAGAACACAGAAAGAAGGAATGGCCTTTTGTTATTTTATTTATTCTATTTCATAAGTTATATTTACTTCATTAAAACATTCACCTTTAAATGACTTCTTAAAAATTTATGAAAAATAAAAAGGACCTATTTCTCTCCCCCAAAAAACTTTGATCCCTACAGGATCAAAGAATTCCTGCAGGGGCTTTTTTCTCTGTGTTGCTGCTGTCTGTGAGCATGGCAAGTAACATGAGCAGGAGGGAGGCCATCTTGTCTTCCTCCTTATTTTATGTCACGTTGCTCCAGAGGCCTGGCTTGAAAAAAGCAGAACATTTGGCTTAGACAGATGGAGGGCAGGGTCATTTTCAAAATGAAATGAGTGCACCAATCACACTGTGAAATTGGCATGACTATCACTGCTACTGTGATAGACTGACTTTTACTGAGTCTTTGATAGGCAATTGGGGAATAGGTAGGTTTTTTTTTTTTTTTTTCTTTTTGGAAAGGAGAGGTGAAAGGAGGCCCTTTAATTAATAGTAGAAATCCTGGAAAGCAATAAACAGGGTAGAATATCATGAAATATAAAGGATCATTTTGTTTTCAATGGAATTTCGAAAAGCTAGAGCGTGTACCAAAAAATAGGTGTATAATAGAATTCCAGGCAGTAGGAAAGCATTTGGTGGTTGTAATAAAATGAATTATAGACTTGTAGGAAAGAATTAGGGAGTGAGAAAATAGAGCGAGACTTAGGGTGGATTTTGCTTCATAAAGGGAGTCAAGTTTACCCTGTGGAGGTGTTCAATTTAGCTAAACATTAGAGGGGCTAAAAAGCATAATATTTGGTTTTTAGAGTGCTTATGTTCGGCCTGCCAAAATATGAGATGATCAGTTCCTGTGGTCTATTTGTATGTATGTTTGGCATTCTCTTTTAAAACTAGTTGAAAGGTATATATTTTCTTATTTATCCTGTAAATGTGCCTACTTCTTGTTGGGAAACATTGTTAACTCATGAGGATTTCAACCACAGCTGTGGACACATGTCTTCCTAAAGGAAGTTCTTCTAAAAAACCATTTTCCATTCACTATTGCTTTTTCCCTTTGATTTCTGGTCATTTTCTTCCAAATGGCCAGTTTGGGAGTCCAGTTACCTTGTATCCATATCTCCAATCCCATCACTCCCTCTACACAGAAAAGTGCCAAATTGGTAATGTGGTTGACTGGCTTTTAGGAGCATCTGTTCACTCTTTTAAGACTTGCAAAGACCATGCACTTTTTATGTTTAGATGGTGAGATATTTCACCTCACTAAGAACTCTCCTTTTGTGGATGGTTCCAACTTTATTAATATTGTAATTGAATTTCCTCTCTGAATATATTTTGCTTTTTGATCAACTAGCTTATACTTTGAGGTTTACAGTGCTGCTGTCTAAATTAACCTACCAAGCAGAGCACAGTAGCACTGCGGTTTGTAAGAGGGACTAACAGAGAAGCCGACACTGTTACTGGCATTTTAAAACACCCAGCCATCCATTCAAACAAAGAGCTAATCTAAGCTCTGTGTTTATGCAGGCGGTTCAGTACCAGGCCTGCTTTGCCTAACTTGCCTCATTAATCCTCAGAGCCCTTCTGTGTATTGGGGGGTTCTTACTGTTAACCCCACTTTAAAACTGCAGACTGTAAAGCACAAAAAAGCTCCAGCACTAGTGATTGCTTCCCCTGGCCAGTAGCGGGCCACACTGCACCCCGCCCGCTCTCCCTGGGCACCTCCTCTCCAGTCATTTGAATTGGCTTTGGATCGTTTGCTGCAGTTTGTTCTAATAGAACAGGCACAATGGAGTAAGAATTTTAAAGTTTAAGCACCGAAGCCATTGTGTAATTGTATAGCGTCATTGTGGCCAGCAGTCCCACACTGATGCGATCTCCCTGGGTAATTGCCCATGCAGATTTGAGCAACGTGTAACAGACACTGGAACCCAGTATTGGGCTGCAGTCTCTCCAGAAAAACTTCAATAATTCGAAGAACTTTTTGCTATATTAAAAATGCTGTCCCAGTGTCCCTTTCATGGAGGCAAATACCACAAATCAAGACAGAGTTAATGATCAGAGTTTCAATTGTAGGTATTTGGAGTCGTGCTTCTTTCTTTTAGTCCTCTCAAAAGAAATAAAAGATTATTCCAGAGCTTTCATCAAACATTAAGCATTTTATTAAAAACCAAGATATTTAGGTCTCTTAAAGCAGTCTGTTTCAAAATCGTGGATTAGTTGCTTGTGAAATAGCCAAGTAGTCTAAAATGTAGTATTCTTACAATGAAATATCAGCCTGGGAAATACACACAAAGGGAATAGCTTCAAACAACTCAACTGAAGACATATTTCCCTTGTTTTGTACAAAACAATAATAATTAGGAAGCAAGTCAGTAGGGGATCCTTTTTAGATGATTGTACATCAAAATAAAATGGTAAAAGCAATATTTCCCCCCAAGGGAATGAAGCTCAACAAAATCTAGCTTCCTATTTCCACACTATATGCTTGTTTTTATTCATCTAAATATGATTTCATCTAAATCTAAAGCAAAAGATAATTTAAGACTTTTAACACACACATGTACACAGAAAGTAAGCACAAAGATAATGGTCTTAACATACCTTTCATAACAAAAAGTTCATTTACTTAATAAACACATTTCTGTACCAGTGTATACGTTTGGTGACATTGATGTAGATATGCTACACAGATAATGATTTATCTTTAGTACTGGTGAGAGATATAGCAAATATGCAAAGATATTCAAAATTAAAGCAGATGCACAACCTGAAATGACTAGCTGAGGGAAAAATAGTGAGATGGACATCGCTGGGCATTGCTGATCTAAATGCTCATCATGAAATTCTCCAGATTCACCCTACTTTACTTCTGCCATCCATGTGTTTTATTCTGTTATTGTTCACCTAGGAAACTCACTACATTTTGGCTTTGTAGCTAGATTTAACCTTTAGATTCCTGGTACATTTGCATTTTGGGGAGTTCTTTACAGCACGTGGCATAATAACAGTTTCAGAGACCATTATCCTGACGCGGATAATGAAACCGCACTACATCACCAGTTTTTAGGTTTGGCTCCATTGCTTTAATGAATTCTTTTTGTCTTTTTTCCCAAGCCAAAGCATTTTTCTCTATATTTAAATCTTTCCCAGGTAAGTTTAGATTCCTGTCTCACTTGGAGGCAGTTATTTCACACTGTCAGTGGGGATGATACTGGTTATTTTTTTTTGTCTATCTGTAATTTATAAGAGTTATCAGGAAAATGGATTTTATTTTTTCATTTTGTCTTTTTAGACAGATTTTAAAATAATTGTACAGCAGAGTAAATTGAGCAGATTGTTTAATGACCTCAGGTAAATGAATAAAGTGTGATACAATTTAATACACAGAAAAAGCAATTAAATTCCAGGAGAATTAATATATTGACATTTCTGTAATATAAAAGGTGTAAAGATTATTTTCAGTCCAATATGTTTGCAAATATAAAATGCCTGGAAGTACATAGCCATCTCAGATTGCAGAAACAGAGAAAATTCATGTGTAGTACTAACTTTTTTGACTCACTTTATAAATTTACGTCTCAATCAATGACTACCATTTATGGGATATGTAGGAATGAAATAATTTAAAACTGTTCTTTGTGAAATAAAAGAATACATATTTTAAAATGTACTAATGACCATGCAATACATTTTAAAAATATATACTGTTTTTATGTGTACCACACACATGTAATTCTTTATTTTATCTTTTGTGAAAACATGACCTCTTTAGGTTTGGTGGCTTTTTATTTGAAAAGAAAAATTTTAAAAAGAAAAACACAGTTTCCTCCTTTGGCATGGAAATGGAATAAAAGTTAGTGCTTTTATTTAATAGGTGGAAAACCTGAGACGTAGAGTCCCAAGATTACAGGTCCAGCTAGCGTCCAGGTAGGCTGGAGTTTCAGTCTAGTGTACGCTGGATGGCATCCTTCACAGAATGCCAAGCTGTTCCTACCTGCTGTGTTGTGGGCTGAACATGTGTTATCTACGATATAGACTAATATGAAAAAACATTATGTCTGAAAAAATATACATCTCATAGAAAAAGCAGGATGATGTCATTTTAGCTACTAATGTCAAGAGGCCTGAGGAGGCATGCCTAATTTGGTCAGTTTGAGGTTTTACCAGGAGGCTCACATTTCCAACACCTTCCTTCGATAGAAAATAAACACTAATAATAAGGGCTGGGGAATTTTCTCTTTCTTTATTTTGGAAAAGCAAAATATATGGCAACCCATACACACCTCACATTCTATAAATTGTTTTATAGAGGGGTTTAAAATACCTGAAACTTTGAGGACTTCAACCTCCAACCCCTCGGGGCTATGGGCACCAGGAAAGCAGCTACCCTCACTTTCTCTGCCTCGTGGTCTTGGAGGAACAGACCATGGCATTAGTCAGCAGTTTCTGAATCTTGACCCACAATAGGAAGTGATATCTGGAGACAGGAAAAATAGATGGAGGCAATTACAAACAGCTACTTGATTGATGGTTGACATTGTCAGGGCTCTACTGTATGGCAGATTGTAATGCTGCTGAACTCCCCTTGCTACCAGTGGATGTTGCTATTGGCAACCGTGCAGTGAAGCCAATAAAAAGGCAAGAAAATGAGAGGAAGACTCAACCTTAGTGGAAGCCGCAGGGTTTATGCTATAAATTATGCTCCCCTTAGCAATACGCAGCATCGATGCTCCGCGTAGCTACTGGGCTTGTAGCTGGCTGCGGTTTCTCACAAACCCTGGGTCCAGTTTTGTCAGAAAGCACGTGCTTTAAAATGTTGCTGTAGACGGACTGGCATCCATTTGTCTTGGCTACTTATTTATTTACTTAGTGTTGGGGAGGATAACAGATGTGGGCTGTCTCTGCCTCAACACGGCCTCACTGTCAGCTCCCTTCCGTGATGGAAACTGATGTGGCCCAGCACCAGGAGCCCTGCAGGGCGTCTCAGCTGCAGGCCGGGCTGCTCCTGACTCCACCCCGCTTTGTTCCTCACCTGGAGGAAGGGACAGCCCGGCGAAGCTATTTTCCTTTATAGCGGAGTGATTCAGAAAACTGGCTTAATAAAATCCATAAATCTGAACAGCCTCCTCTTAGCTGCTCTGCAGAAGCCGTTTTTCCCGTACACACCGTCTCCTCCCGCTTCTCCAGGCTTGGCTGCAGAGACAGCTGTAAGGGCGGCTAGAAACACTGCTTTTTCGGGCTCCCAGTCCTTCTTCTCTTTTTTGTGAGACCCCTCCCTGCTCAGTTGGCTTTTTCTTAAGCAACTGAAGACAGGATTCTGTACTCTCTTTTTTTATGTTTTTGGTTGGAAGTGCTGTTTTCCTTTGTTTGGACTAACTTCTGCCTGCCCCTTGGCACCGTCTCAGCCCCTGACTTTCCTGCATTGCTCCTTCCTCTTCTCCTCCTCCTCCTCCTCTTCCTCCTCTGCCTTGTTTTCCATTATTCCTTTTCTTTCCTGGTTTGTCATTTTCACTTACTTTGTCTCTTCTGTTTTTACCCGTTTCCCCTCATTTTTTATTCCTTCTGCAGACTTCTCCCAGGGACTCCGGTGTGTTAGGGAAGTGCCACCTCATGGAGCCTGGCTCCCATCTCTTAAGATTTCATTAGTAACATTAATAACTAATACTGATCAGTGAAAATAAGGACAAAAATGTTAGGGGCTGGGGATTTAGCTCAGCGGCATAAGCGCCTGCCTTGCAAGCAGGCAGTCGTGGGTTCGATCCCTGGTACCGATAAAAAGGAAAAAGACAAAAAAAAAAAAAAAAAAAAAAAAAAAAAAAAAAAAAAGAACAAGAATGTTTTCACTTAGTTGAGATATTTTCAAAGTCCTAAGAGATGAAGGTTGGTAGGGACCCTAGACCTACATTCTGCTTCAAGCAGAGGGCTTGTGGTTTTAGATGTCTAATATCATGAAGGTTCCTTGAAATATTTCATTTAAGAAAGAGTTCTAAAATTAAGACATGTTTGAAAATCATTGTAATGGTATTTGACAAAAAAAGGAAACAAATACAGAAAATCTTAATGGCTTGTCCCCCGAATCATTCCATCAGTAGTGACACAGGGTAAAATCTAACTTCTAGCCTACTGTTCTTTGGGTAAGACACGCCCAATCCTCCATCTCTGAGGTAAAGTGAGAGGAATGTTAGTCACTGCATCTTTTAATAGAGTGTATTCTTATTTATTATAAGCCTGACTTGCTATAGAATGTACTTTCTGTCCAGACCATTATTTCTTAACCTCTCAAGTATTCTTTTTTACACTTCGTGTGAAATTGAGGGTCCCAGCATTTGGCTTTAAATTGGTTGGTGGTAGTAAGTTTTGTACCAAAACTCATCACCGGAAGAACTCAAGCCCGTCAGCGTTCACTTTCCGGTGCTCTGTGAAATACTTCTCATTGTTGAAAGTAGTTCCTAGAAATTGTTAGGTCACTTAGGGTAAATCTGGCTACAGATTTCCTTTTATCTTTGTTTTAATTAAAGTCTGTTAGTCCATTTCTTCCAAGAGAAGGCTCAGTCCAAAAGGAAGGCTTTTAAAACTCTGAAAAACAGGACCATGATCTCACTAGAGTTACAAATCTTATATAAACACCAGTCAGACAAACATATCTGCACACTGCTACTATAGACTTTTGGTGGGGGAGAATATGATTGGTTGGTATCTACAAAGATAGTATAGCTTTTATGTTTTAGGTAGGGAATTCTAAAGGCTCTGATCCAACATCAGGAAGCTATAGTAGGGATACTCAGCTCTGAGTAGTTGTCTATTCTCTTTCTTTTCCATCCCTTTCCCCACTAAATGAACCATCTTCTTTATCAAGAAGAAGAAGAAGAGAAGAAGAGGAAGAAGAAGAAGAAGAAGAAGAAGAAGAAGAAGAAGAAGAAGAAGAAGAAGCTGCTGCTATAGGACTAAAAATAAAATACCTCTAAAATACCTCTATTGGAACACAAAGCTGGATTCCTGGGATAATCTGGTATAAAAGGGCACTCCAGGAAAAGCTACAGAATCAGGCAGTGTTTGGCTTGTAACAAATTGAAGAGCATATACAAAATGAAGCAGCAAGAAGGATGCTTTCACTGGTCCCTGTTCCCTCAACTCAGACTGGGCAGACCTGACTGTTCCCAGGTCTGCGGATCCAAACCAGTCCTCTACCCAAAGCCTTTGTCTCGGCCCGTGTGTGATCAGCAGGTCAGTCAGGGTCCCAGTTCCCTGCTCTCTCTGTTTGTCCTTCTGTCCCACTCTCAGCTGCTGACCACTCCATGCTGAAAACCTGGGCATGCTTCCCAGCGTATCCACATCCCTGAGACTGTAGGTCTGTCTGAGCTGTGAGAACAAAAGGATGACATGGCTGGGTTGAAGCTGGCCCGTCAGGCTGCAGTCTTGCAGCAGCTCTGAGAAGGCAGAGGCTTAGTTTCCATCCTCTTCAGCCACCATGAGGCTGGGAGCGGCTGGGGAGGCAGCCGAGGCCAGCAGTCTTTTTTGGTGCAACTCTTCCCACTTGCTTCGGTTCGCAGCCACTGAATCTAGCATAGGCTTCAGTTTCATATTGACCTTCACCAACGCCTAAAACAAAACAAAAAACAGGTAGGGAGAGAGGAACCCAAGTCATTGATATATAAGATTTCCACCTTTTGTTTTTCAGGAGAATGAGAATGGCTACAAGAAATGAAAAATTATTTTGGTAAACATGAGCTAGTCATAAGAAGTAAATGTGCATGTAACACCACTGTGTTGTATTAATAGAATGTGTGCAGAGAAGCCAAAAATAATGCAGGCTGGCTGTGTGTGTAACTCCAGGGGGAGCCAGCCTCCTTGACTTGCAGCCTATTTTATAACCTCATCAAGAGAGACAGAAGACAAAATATTCAGCTCACACTTGTCTGCTAATGTTTGTGTTTTCACCATCAGAAAGGACCCTGAATGTGCTCTGAACTTTAATTTTTATAAAAACGGATGTACAATTGCTCCACTACTAGTGCCCTGGGTGATGGTCCCTGAAGAAGAAAGGGCCAGGTTAAAAGGGTGGGAGGTAAGAGAAGAGGCTCCTTCTTAAGCTAAAAGACTTGGAGCTGGGCTTAACATACAAATCAATACGGAAACATATGGAAACAGATGTGACAGGAAGGGACAGGAGTGTGGAGGAGACTGTGAGTGAGGTGAGGAAGAGGCCACGTGGGGTGTCCAGGGGCAGGCAGAGCACTGAGCGTGGGCTCAGCCTCAGTGTCCTCACTTGCACCAGGCCTATTTTATTTTTGTATGTAACTTTGTGTTAATTTTAAAAAGAAGTCTCTGTCTAGTCCTGGATGCTTTAGGAAAATTTCATAATTCTCTGCTTCACTAATTTTTTTAAGGTAAAAAATGAATCTAAAAGCTCATAAAATATTTTTCTTTCTTTTAAATATTTTATTTTTCATTATGAAAGGCTTCAAATATATTCAGCCAGTAAAATATTAGCAAAACTATTTAATAAACACCTATATACATATGAGGAGTAAATTTAAGTAAACCCACACATGTTAAAATATATACAAAAAGGGCTTGAGAGTCTTTATTTCTTGGATAGTTCAACACAAAAGGAAATAAGATCGGAATGACAATCTTTTAACATGATCATGATTGTTTGAAAACAGGAATTTTTAAGTTATTTTAGCTGAGGATTTAGCTCAGTGGCATAACTGCCTGTCTGGCAAGTGTGAGTTCGTGAGTTTGGTGCTCGGTACAAAACAAAACAAACAAAAAAAGGTAAGAAGTTATTTTATATATTTCTTAAGGTATTAACTTTGGAAAACAGAAACAATAGGTTTAAAGGAGGTAGGACAGGATGGCAGAGTGTCCCTGTCCCTGTGCACCACTGCAAGCCACCTGCTAGCAGACCTGAGTTACCCCTCAGGTATCTTCCAGGGAGTTACAAGAGTACCTGTAGGGTGTAACTAGAAGCAAGTTAAGGACCTTGGGTGGAGTTTAGGTCCAGAAACAGTCAGGTACCTCAGTGAAGAGTGCCACCTCTACCCCAGCTGAGGTGGCACCTGTCTACGTAAGTACCTTGGAACTGCAGGATATTCTCTGTTTTTGTCACTGTGTCTAACAGCGATGTTTCCTATACTGTGCACAAACATCTAATTTTAAATCAGATGTACCAGTTATTTTATATGATAACAAAACAAGACAGTGTAATAACTCAGGCAGTGATAAGAAAAATCCTGTTTATTTTTACTAGAAAAATGCAGACGCCCAATTCCTCTCAAGCGCAGTGTTTTTAACTAGACAGTAGTGTGAAGTAGCAACTGCTGGGGTTTTATTTAGTGTGGCTTGGCACCAGCTCCTCTTTACTCTGATCAAGCCTTTTAATTAAACTGACTACTATAATTCCTATGGAAATTAGTGTTTATGTTACTTTCCTGCTACAAAAGCATTTCTCTAGAACTTATTTTTTTTAATTCTTGGAGCACAAATTGGAATTTTTTTCTGCTTGAAATGTAATTAAAAACTCATTTGATTACAATATTTCTGGCTCTGTTTTACTTATTAAATTCCTGTAATCAGTTTTCTTTTATGAAGCTGCTGGGAAATGATCTCAAAAGCAACACATTTTTCTCTTCCTTGGCAGGTTCCCGAGCATTTACTAAATTACATTCATAGCACCTGCTCATGATTCCAATGACTCCACCAATTTATTCCTAAGACCATTTAAGTTTATTTGGCTTAGCCCCAAGCAGCTTTCTTTCCTTTATCTTTGTTCTTTGTTCTCCCTCTTGCTTCTTTTGTGTTGACTAAGATAATGGGGAGGGGGTGGCATATATCTTTCTCCAAGTTCATTCCTTCTCTTTGTGTCTTGTTCTTCTGAAACAGAATTGCCAAACTAGAATGTCATTTTTTTCTGGCCATATACTGGTTCTGGGCAAAGGTAGCAAAAATCCTATCTTGAGGAGTTATTCTTACACTATATATTTGTTATGTAAATACAGTTAGCTGGGAGAATATGGGACTCTTAAAAATCAAAGGATTATCCATAAACCTGAATTCCAGGGTTTAGGGTGATTTCATGCAGTGCCATCTGCAAGAGAATTGCTTCTAATATATGCAAAGATTGGCCATTCCTACAGTTTGTCATCAGAGATGACACCTGATGGGTTCTGTGAGAATGATACTAATTTCTAGTATGAATTACACCTTACTTGATAGAAAAGAAGTTAGGAACAGACCCATCTGACCAGTCTCCACATAGACACAGAGAGGCTGTAGTGATTAGTACTATACATTACTGTATCAGCCACAGGATGCCTGACTCTCCTCCATAGCATCCCTGGGGTATGACCTGGTTAGACATGTCCAGAGGCACTCAATGTACCACTTCCGGGGTGGGAGGGACTCTTTTTTTTTACTCTTTGTTCTGATCTGAGAATGTTGCTCCTGTGCTAAACTTTAATCCACATCTCTGTAACCTCTGTCTATTGGTTTTAATCTCTGGGATGATCTCCCTTTTAAAAATTGGAAACTAAGTGTTGTTTATAGTTGCCCACTCCAAATAATTCTGTAATGAATGTCCTTGTACAGAGCCATTTTGTAGATACCACGTTTATCAAAAGGTCAAACTTAGAATCAGTATTGCTGAGCCAAAGAGCACGTACATTTGCATTTTGATAGATAGTATTAAATCAACACATACCCTGTGTAAGAGACAAAATAGCATCCTTACATTATCCAGTCTTAGAAGAGAAAGAAAACATGGATCTCTTATCTACTGTTTAGATTAAGGCCTGTAATAATACTACGAGGTGGATAAAGCTAAAAAGTGTACACAAGTCTAGCATTTGGCTCTTTCCCCTGTGTATACTCCAGATGCTAACATGTACCTTATATCCTGGAATAATACCACAGTGATGTTATTCCAGGACTTCTTAAATTTTCTTCCTTCTCTAAAAGAAGCTTCCCACATGATGAGTGAATGGATTTAAATTTCTTAATTGTCTTTCACCGTTTCCAAATGTTTTCCAGGAGTTTCTCAGGTAATTCCTGTTACTAATAAGTGTTTATTGAATCCTTACTTTGTAAGACTAAGTACTTTACACACACTATCACTTCTTTTCTGAAGAACCTTATGAGATAGATAGCATTATTATGCTCTTTTTGTTGTTGTTTTGTGATTGAGGAGACCAAGGCTTAGGAAGACTAAAGGACTCACTCATGGTCAATCATTTGGTAAGGAGAAGAACTGATAGGCGGTTGCAGTTTTTGACCTTAGTTCGGGTGGTGTTTGGGGCCAGATAATTCTTTGTTGTGGGCCTGCCTTGTGCACTGTAGGATACTACAGAAGCCAGTAGCAGCCCCCAACCTCAACACCCTGCCAAGTCATGGTAGCCCCCAAATATCCCAAATATTAAATATATTGCAGATGTCCCCTGGGGAGTAGAATCATCCAAGCTAAAAACCGTTACTTTATAGCCTCTAGGAATTACCTACCTCTATTATGTCTTAGATGAATGGAACTTTTTTCAATTAAAAGGAGCACCAAAAGTAACCAGCTCTATAGTGTGAACCCGAACAGTATCTCTGCTGGTTGAGAAAAAAACAGATTTACTCCTTGGGCCAAATACTACCCAGTCCCCTGCTCTTTATCTCATGTTTTTGAGGAACTTTAGAAAAAAGAAGTAAGAGTAGCTTCTGTATATTGAGCAGTCACTGTGCTGGGTGGGGTTGGAGTCATTATGTCCTAGAATCTTCATAGCGGTTTTATTCAGTAGATACTTTCATCACCTCCCCTTCATAGATATAAAACAGATTCAATAAGGTCAAGTGCTCTGATGATGGTCCTACATGGAGAAAGATGAAGCCAGGGACTGAACTTACGTCTCTCTGATTCTCCAAGCATTGTGTGAAAACTTCTCTTCCTAAAAACTAGTCATTCTTTAACACTTAGCTCATATTTTATCTTCTATGAAGTCTGATTTTCCAGGATAGAATCAGAACTTTTTTTTTCATTCATTGGTTTGTTTTTTTGAGGAGAGATCTCACTACGTAGTCCGGGTTGGCCTTGGATTTGCTATGTAGATCCTCGTGACTTGACTCAGCCTCCCTAATGCTGGAATTTACAGGTGCTTGTCACCACACCAGCTTCTGGAATCTTTTTATATGTATGTCTAAAATATATTCTCTGCTTTGCCAATCAAGCTTTTGTATCCAAAATGATTTTTAGCTTTTACTACCATAAAAGTATCTTACGTATTTTAAAAATACCTAATATGTTTTTCTTTTGCCTTCTAGAGATTTTTCCTCTTATGCCTGGATTTAAGCCATTTGATCCTGTTGTGGCTTGATGTAGTTTCCCTTATGAACCTGCCTGGGGTTCACTGAATCTTGGTTCTATGTCTATAATTTTCATCAAATTTTAAAACACTTCTACCACTTTCTCCAACTGTTTCTAATGCCCACCTTTCACCTCTGGCACTCCAATTATACATGTATTAAGTCATTTGGTGTTGCCCTCCATCTGTTTCTGACCATTTCTTTTCTGCCTTTCCTGCATCTGAGTTTCATTTTGGATGCTTTCTATGGCTATACCATGG